TATGGTTCTATTTTGTGTATATAAAGTGGAGAATCCTCCGGCCGGGAGGAGATTAGAACAATCAAGTTACATTTCCATCAGTAGCAAGTAAGGAAGGGCTCGAAATCGATAAGGCTTTTGGGAAAATGGATAACGTGATGAATATGGCAGTGAGTTGTTTGCTGGCCATGCGGGAATCCCTGGCGTTGTATTTTTTTTCAATAAAATATCTCGTTATCATGAATCTTTATCATGAACTCCAGGTAAACATTCATAAGAAGACTAACCAATGACACAACCCCGCATATCCCCCCCCAATAAACACTTCCTCCTTTTTTTCTCTCCTCCCTATTTCCTACTCCCCCACTTCTCCCCAACCACCCCTCCCCCCCTCCACCTTTCAGCAGCCACCCTACTCCTCGGACTCATCCCCGCCTTCACAATCCCCGCCTCGACTTCAAGCGCCTTAATCCTAGCTTTACACTCCCCAATCTCCGCCTGTATCTTTTGCAGCCTCGCAATCTTCTCTCTGTGTTGGTATAGATCTGTTGTTCCTTGTGGCGGTGATGGAGGGACCTTAAGAAGTGGTTTCCCAGCTTTTGCAAACCGAATTGGTGGTGGAGAGAATGTGGGTGAGGTTACCATGCTGGTGTAGGATGGCCCTAGGGGGTGCTGGTCGAGACGGCTGGGGAGAAGGGGTGTGGAGTCCAGGTGGTAGGTTATTGTTGGGGTTGAGGTTTTGATGGTTGGGGTGGTGGGTGGAGGGGGTGGAGGAGGGTCGGCGAGATTATTGGAGGCGGTGGCTTTTTGGTGTTTTTGAGGAGCGATGCCAGGGAGCGAATGTAGATCTTGAAAATGATGACGGCAGCGACGGCGGTGGGGAGGCTTGTGTGGGCGTTGAGGTGACATTATTATTTTGTGAGTGGAGGATGTGGTGGGGTTGGGTGAGTTTCGGGAGTCGGGTTTGGATTGGCTATGGGCTTGACGTTGGTATGTAGAGTCACATCACATATTGGACTGTAATTAACCCACTCCAGTGTTAAGTGAATATTGTCTAGCCCAGGCTTACGTGAACCCTGAGAACGCAGGCCTATACGAAGGGTAGCTTTCCCAGGAATGACGGGCCTGGCGGCAGTCTAGATCACTGTGTGAGGAAAGGGACGGAATTCCATACAAATCACCTTGTGGATCGTCCGAGGTAAGAGATTACAGAGTTCTCAAAGATCACTTTAAATTTATACCAATTTTTATCTTTAATCCGCACTATTCTATCGCTCTACAAGTGAAAAAAATGAAGCCTAAAAAACGCAAGTAATAAAACAAAGCGTTGATTGAGCTAATTCTGTATCCCTATCTTAACAGCTTTCTTCGTTTCATCCAACATAAACCCAGTGTATGTGTGACGCGCTTCGGCCTCCAGATAATTGATCCTTGCAATTCGACTTGAATAGCATCGTTGTCGCACTCCCCGTCTCTGATACCATACCTGCTCTTATTTTCATCATCGATACCATGTCTCTTCACCCTGTTGTATCTCTTCTCATCGTGATTGACCCCGAATAATCTCTTCTTATTATCATTCACTCCATATCGCTCTACCCTGTTGTATCTCTTCTCATCGGTATCATCCACTGTATACATCTTTCTCTTATTGTCATCTTCGAAAATATATCTCATTTTCCTATTGTCACTGCCGTGTTTTCTGCCTTCATTGCAGTCTTGCATCTTTCCGACGATCCGCGCAACGTCTTCGACGCACCTCTCTTCTTTGGCGCTGCGTTTCTTCTCATCTTTCTTACCCATTTGGATATTCCGAAATATTTAAAACCGATTTCAAATGCGTTAGTGTCGTTTAATGATGCTAAAAAAAAGCCCAAGAGCTTCCGACCGGAGGAAACAACGATGGTTTGTGTGCTCCTTGGTGCCTATGTGTACACTAATAACGTACCCTTGTGGTGTCAAAACTGGACATCTCGACATTCCATCTGCCGCAAAGCAATCTGTCCATCCTATTGTGAAACCGTTTTCACCGGTTGGGCCATCCGTTACTCTCCCTGAATGCACAATAGCCTGATCGAAATCCATCTCAATGCACTCAACCGTAAAAAAAATCGAATAGGGCTTTATCAAAAATGAATCCAATAATGATAGTCTTTCAAATTGTGCTGTGGGGGACCATAAGAGTGCCAAATCTAATAACGAACTGACTGCGCGGACAACCAGCGGGTATCTTTTATGAAGTGGTGTATCTGAGGTCGAAATATATACGTCTTCTCTGGCAAAAGACTCCCAGCTGGTCCCATCTCCACATGCAATAACATGTTTACATGTGACTAAGAAGTCATACCCTACAGCCCAGCCAATTCCAAACGTTATGAAGATTAGTACCAAAACAACAGAAGTGATATGGAAGTACTTACGTGGTAAATCTTGTCTGTGCCTATTTCCCTTCTTATTACAGCTATGGGTTGAACTGCCGCCTCGAGGGGCCTCGAGGATGATAAGTTATGTGCCTCAGACGGTTTGTTATCAACCTTGTGATCCTTCTCAATTGCTCGGCTTCTGTTTCTTACTGGTTAGAGGAAGCCAGGCAAATCTGCAAAATGTATACATACCAATACTTCTAAAATCATCATGCGTCATATCGGAGGGAATTGCGCACGCTTTCACGGTACCACGTGATCTTGCTGAATCTATGAAGGTATCGTGCGTCATTTTTAATAGGTTAATGTATAAGAGGAAGCTTCAATTCGAGCAATGAAAACAACACTGAAATTGGTGTTGATAAGGTGCCAGCGAGAGTTAATGACCGTTAATGGGGTGCTCGTGTTGCAGTTGATGGTAGATGATCGACGGAGATTGCTATTTGGAGTTGGTGCATATGAAGGCGGTTGTCGATAAGAGGGTTCTATTTGGGGTTGCGCCGTCAACCAGTGATGCAGTCGATGGCAGTGGTCAATGAGAGTTTCTATTCGGAGTTGTGCCGTCCATCAGTGGTGCAGTCGATGAGAGGTTCCTATTCGGAGTTGCGCCGTCAACCAGTGGTGCAATCGATGGCAGAGGTCGACGAGAGGTGTTAGCTGGAGATTCAAGGGTCGAAAATCATTTCAATTCCAAGACCCCCACTTCAGCTGTTCTGTCAAGGTTGAAGTATTGCGGTATCCCACTTCGGTAGAGTTAAGTTTGAGAAGAGATTAGGGATTTTTGAGTACCTAAATACTTCCCAATGAAGGGAGCTTCAACCTACAACAACAATAATTACATTAATCGCTTCTCTCGCTGACAACTGTCCTGCAAATGCTAATTTTGCCCTGCGCTCATCATGTTTCCCAGCAGTGTCACTAAGTTTCCTGGGGGTACGGCTTCGCTACTTTTCAATTCCCGGACCGAAGGCCTTCATCATCTTCTGCATCCCATAATCCCGTCTCAATACCGGCCACCTATAACAACCTCCGCCACGATGTATTGGCACTAGAGTATCATTAAAACGTAGGTTACGTTTTATCGATCATACGTAAATTGAAAGACGTAAACATGCAAAAATGCGTCTAAAAAGCGTAAATAATGCGTTAAGAAGTACGTATAAATAACGTGACTACATATTTTACTCTTTTACGCAATTCTTAACTGAATTAGGCGAAAAAACAATTACTCGGGTGCGAGGGATGCTCTTGTTTCTAGCAGGTAATCATAACCGGTAAGGTGCAATCGTGCCAACACAAAATTTAGGTATAACTTCACCAGAATAATATGAGAAAAATATCAGAACTGGAAAAGACTGGAGTGCGCATGCACTGACTTCCAGTTAACATTTCCCCCTGGTCAAACACCCCTGCTCTGCCAGCCAAATTTAATACCAGAAAAGGCGCGTCCGATCCTTTACCCTCGCACCCGAGTATTGGATGATCTTACAGGGATTTGAACCAATGAGTAATTTTACACACTCATTGCTCTACTTAAGTATACCGTTAGACCACTTTACTTGTACTATTCACACCTACTTTGGTTGTCTTGGTTAATCCTGTGAATCATTCAAATCTTTTCTAAGTCCTAAAATGCGTATAAGTATGCGTTTTATTTATTTATTTATTTAGCGTGGGTAATTAACGCTTTTGGTATTTAAAACTGTGCATATAAATTTTATGTTTTTTTAAAACTGTAATTAACGTTTTTAGTATTTAAAAATGCGTAGAGAGGAGGGACCCTATTCGAATGTGGTCGGGACTCGGATGTCTTGGCAGAATGTCTTACCAAATTAGGCAGCCGCTTACCTATTTTGGCTAGGCATTCGAGTACCGACCACATTCGAATAGGGTCCTTCCTCTTTAATTAACGTTTTTGGGTTTAACGTTTTTTATATTTCACTTATGCATTTTCAGGTTGATAAAACGTTATCAAAGTTATATTAAAACGTGAAATACAAAGATCTAACGAACCGAAAAACCATATTGCGAAGACAGAAATAAGTGTTGTCTCACCATTAAGCATACTTCTCCGTCTAATACCCGCTCACCACCCCTCTTCTTCCTCAAATGTCGCTGAGGTCAGGATGGGAGATAGGGTTGTTGCGGTTCTTCTCTCCTCGCTTTTTCCCTAAAATAAACAGCTCCGATTCTCGCCTTCGCTGCCATATTGCGTTGCTCTATCGCCAGCTAATGAAACCAGCGAGCCCGAGGACGAAGTTGCAAGTTCTTTGGTTATTCAACAAGCATCTCTATAAGTAGATTAACCCGGAGAAGCATTTCTAAGATTGCAAGTGTTCTGGCCGGTTATTGGTTCGAAAGTATACATACATCGGTGAATCTCCAATGCTTGGGGCATTTGTGTGGCACCAGCAAGATAATAGCCAAGTGGCGCCGAGGAGTAGGGGCGAGGGAAATAGATACACCAGAAGGGAAGTAGCCAGAGACCGCCTTGAAGTGTAGTGTCGCTGTAGACATACGCTGACCGGCGGTTACCTGTTAAGCACATATTACCCATGCAGCTATGACTCAAGTAAGAAGTAAATTCAAATTAGACAAGCCCGGATGGTCTAGTGGTATGATTCCTGCTTTGGGTAGACCACTATTCGAAAAATCTGCAGGAGGTCTCCGGTTCAAACCCGGATTCGGGCCTAATTTTTTCTGACTTTGGAAAAGTGTTTGATTTTTGATCTCTAGGAACAAATCAATTAATCCTCTATATGCGGTATGACAAACGGGACATGTCGACTTGTCACCAGTCAATCTGCGCTCCGCGGAGTCAAAATTCTGATAATTAATACTGCTTAATAACCAATTGCAGGAAGAGGAAGAGGGAGGGTCTCTAGTAGAGAGCAATTACCTTGAATGAATGATGAACTATCACTCACAACATATATTGAAGCTAAACCAGATCTGTCATGCTGTCCCGATTAGGAACGCTTGGCACTCCCTACCAAAAAAATGACCTTACCCTCAAAATTTAGGGCACTTCGCTTTGGACTTTTTCGTACACTCCTCCTACCGTCAATCCCTCTCGTTCCAGCCAGCACGTCACTACCAATATCGCTTTTCTTACCGCCGAGGAAATGGTGACTCTCAGACAGTCAGTAAGTAGAAGGAACCTCTTCTGCAATACAGTTTCAGTACCTCTAGGAACCAAGATCGAATTTTATTGCATAAGACCTTGCACCGCCTTGCCCAACTTATATGGCAGTCGTACCGTGTCCACTGTGATGGAGTTTCCTACCAATATTTGGATGGTGATGTGTTTCGTACCAACCTCGTGAACGTAACAATGAGAGTACGTCATCAACACCTCGTTTGTTCATTCGATTACGATTCGCTAACAATCTTTGAAGCATCTGACGCGCTGGTGGTGATGCTGGTGTTGATTTTGGCACTTGAGGAAGGAATCAGATTGAGTGACGAAGCAAGTATTCGAGGAAGTTACCAGTTGTCTGGAGAGATGTTTAACAGCGAACGAATCAAGTTTACTCTTCATCAAATACGGAATTTTCTCTGCAAGCAGCAAGGAAACAACGAGTACCGTATTCAACCTACTACTCAAAGCAACCATAAGCCGGAGGAAACTTTTCGAGCTTTGAACGTCCAAACTTTGCCAAATACACCATCATGGGTTGCTATCAAAAACCTAAATTTACGTTTACAGATAGACGACTAGATATTGTCTGCTTCCAAGTGGGTGGAAAGAAAACATGGTTTTTATGGGAGCCAGAACACTCGTCCAGGTATAAAGCCGCAGCGCATAACAAGTTACAAGACCCAGGAGGTGAATCAATTCTGGAGCAACTAGGGCCTAAAATGCAAAAAATTTGGATTAGAGCTACCTGTGATATATGTTTCTGTAGGGTGGAGGCATGCGGTGTTAACAGTTGATAGTGAGTATCTCTGGGGATATTTATTTTACACCTTTGAGCACGTTGGAATGTTGATCGGGGTAAGTCAAGCAATCTTAAAGAATATCGCAAGTAAAACTGGGGCGAAGTGCTGATATCACAGAGTATAAGGGAGCAACTGTCGTTTATTCCGGAACCACTTATAAGAACCACTGAGGAGAGAACGATTTCAAAGAAGCAAATCCCAATCCTGCATGTTGAGACATTGCCTGCAATTCGAACAGAAGAGAGAGGATTCAACTGTTGCATAGCTATATGTACCTTAGCCTCAGTGAATTGATATTTAAGAAGGCTCTATCCGGCATACAAGGAAGGGGAACCCTAAATAAAACCACGCATAATGGTGATGAGAACGTAGAGAGAGGTATCGGCTATCAAGATCGCGAAGGTTGCGCTGATAGAGGGGGCAATGCTGGGAAGAGGGAGATTACGAAAGCTTCGCTGTTAGCTGGGATCGCGAGGTTTCCACTTATAGAGACAGCGATTCTGGGGAAGAAGCTGAGAGTTAGGATAGGTATTACATGCGAATTGAGTTTGCGCTGGCGAACAAACTTATCATCTCTCCCCCCGGCCTACAATCAACATGCCCCCCCTCTCCCTCCGCTCATCTTGAACCTCCTTCCCTGCATATCAACCCCCTCCCTTCCTCCCTTCGATTCTCCCAAGTATCAACAATGTCCACGTCCTCCGGCTCCCCACTTCGAATAATACTCTATAACTGTGGGCACACACAACCCGCACTACCACCCCCCGGCCGCTCGCTGCAATGGAGTTTTTTGAAATTGCCGTGTGGTGCGTGTTGGATCCCATCGGAGGCAGAAGGTGGTGGAAAGTACGAAAAGGAGAAAATGGCGTTGGTGATTGGGAGGGCGATTGTGTGGGGATTGGTACTGGCCGTGGTGGTGGGGTGGTGGGTATCTGTATGAGAGTGTGTTCAGGACTAAGGTGCCTATTAGGCAGTGGTTTTTTTCTTGGTTGTAATTATGCCGCTGGACGGGATGTTCGAACTCTTGTGTAATGTACTCGCTTCTGTACTGCGTGCGATAATTGAGATGGTGAGTGATCAGTGTGGTGTAGTAGGGGTTGTGTGAGACAAGATCGTAAAGTACTAAGTACCATGTGACACTCAGACAAACAATGCACCGATTTACTTAGCTTCATCCAGAAAACACCACTCCTCATCCCAAAAGCGTCCAGCGACAACAACTATCCACCTTCGATACCCTCACCCACTCCAAGGCCTCCCACACAACTGTTGGCAGATTCAATTCAACAGTCTTAATTCGGAACGCAACGCTGCATTCAAAATTTGAGCCTCGACAACCGCGGCGCTGTGGTGCACGTCCACCAAACGGATTGCAGAACCTTCGACTTCGTATACTCCCGGCATGGGCGTTGCAGTCATTGCTTATGATTGCGAGTCACTCGACTTGTTAACAATACCTTGGCCGGGGCGGGGGTTCAAAGCTAGCGACCACAAGACGAGATATCCTGGGGCTGTGAGGGTGATATAACATATCAGACAACCTGGAGGTAGGCAAGACGAGACGAGATGGTCCGAGCTCAACTAAAATCAGATCTTGTCTTGTCTCGGGCTTGGATTGAAGCATGGACTATTGGGGTTGGGTTAGTTTAGGTGAGTATAACTCGCTTTATATATGTTCCGATCTATTGGCGAACCCACCAGTTCGCAAACTGACGTGCTGGTTCGCGATATTTGTCTCGTTCGCAAATCAGAAAGAAGTTTGCGAACTAGTAAATTTATGCGAATTTTTACCCATACAGTGCCCTCGCTCGCTTTCCCAACGTCTTCACTTTGAGATCATACCCGAACTTCGGACCTTTCAATGTGCAGGCAAAGGACATCACTTTAGGGGACACCATTATAGCAGCTGTGAACCTTCTCACATATCCGAGCATCAGGTACTTAACCTTATTTGAAGCGGCTGTGACGCAGAGTACAACAAGTTTTACAGTGTCCTTGTTGCATGCGTGTGAAGGCGTCATATTATCCCACGGAATTCCTGACGGTATTGGTTCCTGCTGATTTCTAACACTTTTGGGAGCTCGCATTCTGGATTCCCAGTTTGCAAACTTCGCAAATAGGTCTGACCAGTTCGCGTACGGGCAGAGTTCGTAAATGGGTCGGAACAGAAGCCGGGGTTGGTAAAAGCAAAGGGATGGCTCTCAATGCAAACACAAAGTGGATGTTTCTGGAGCAGGATTCAAGATTTGGAGGAGGATCGACACTGGGGCTCATTCCACATCTTCGATAGAATTCGGGGCCAACAACATGCGCGCTGGGCCCGCATGGCATCATTCCGGAATGCAATAGTGTCTTACCTTCTATTCTAAAATATGGTTCAGCTTGACTGAGAGCTAGTGGACGCGATTGGGTGGGCAGGGGCTGACGAAGACGACCGAGAGGAAGCCTAGACCCGACAGGCAGCCAGTGGAGGCGAGGAGAGAAAGGCTGGGGCCGACCGATGAACTAGCAGAGGCGACGAGGACAGGAGGCGGCCAACCTTGAGTTTGAGTCTGAAAGTCAGAGTTCGAGCCAGAACCCAAATTTGAGTTTGAGCCAGAGCTTGAGTGTGAGCCAAGCCAAAGCCAGGGAGGGAGCTCGAGCCCGAGCAGAGGAAGTCTACAGCGAAGAGAAGGAGTATATAGAGAGGGAGCGGAGTGGTAGTGTACATACTATTTTTAGTTCTGTATGTTCCGACTCTACACCCAGTGAAAGGCGCCTGGCCCAGAACGGGAGATTCCAGGAGGAGTGGCAGCCGCATCGGCGGCCTCTACTCCCCCGAAGTGGCAACCTCGTTTACACTTCGTTTACTGCTTTCGTCTTTGCCTTGTTTTTCGTGTTCTTTCAGTTCAAGTTTTTGCAAATGATTCTGTATATATAGAGAAAACACTCGGAGGGAAGAACGAGCCCACCAGATCTCGAAACAAAACTAGACGTTTTCTTTCTTACGCTCTTAACACATTAGGAGATGCCAACGATGGTCATTGGTGTCAACAAACTAAAGGAAGAAATTATAAACCAAGCTCTTAGGAAAGCAAATGCTTTGTGCGGCCAGCTACTAAGCGCCCATGCCACAGGAGTGGAGATAATACTCGCAACCCACGATGATTAGATCCGGAGAAACATTGGCTACCACGAAAAAGTTTGGGGCTAACCTGAATCCCTGAGAAAGCTAGTTGCCGTGTGAGACAACCCTTTCCAGTTTGGCATGTACATCGCCGGAGCTCTGGGGTCTGACTTCCTCAATCGGTGCCGGTAGTTGGGAAACAGACGGTGGGACTTTCGGAGGATATTTAGAAGATAAACAGACTGGTGAAATTTACGGATTTACACTACACCATGCCGCGTGCCGCCACGACGTTATCCAAGTCTGACAGGCCGCTGAGGCCTGACGATATCGACAGTGTCAGAAAAGCTCTCTCGGAGATGTCTATTTTACCGAACACAGGAACAGAAATTGCGATGCTGGGAAGGAGTCTGGGAATCCATCTCATCCACCAGTTGACGGTTAGTCAATAACCTGTCTTACTAACATCCGCACATCTATTTGTCGTGGAGGAGGAAGGTTTGGAAGTGCTCCCGGAAGGATCCCCAATTGTGCAGCCTGTCCATGCGGACTTAAACCGTTCCATGAGAGAGGTTACAGAAACGCTTACTGCATTGGAACCAAAGACTTCTCAACTTGAAATTTACCAGGAACGGAAGAGAAA